GCGCTGCAATGCAAGACGACCCGCTAGAAAAGTTCAGGACCGGTCTGTTTTTTTTTTCTTCTTTTTTCTTTTCTTTTTTTTTCCGCCCTTGCATCCACGCAAAGCTGTTTGGGCCCAGAAGCCATCAGATCGAAGGAAGGAACAACAACAGGTTTTGCGCCAGAACAAAAAAGGGTTTCGAGCGGGTTGACAAGTAGTAGGGCACCTTTTCAAGCCTAGCACCGCCTAGTGCCGCCTTTTCAACGCCTTATTTGACATCCCCAGAACTCGGGCCAAGACAGTGAACAAGACACTGCAAGAGGCAGTAGGAACAAACACTCGTAGTAATGTGCTGGGCAATGCGGATCGATGGGCGACACTGGGCGAATTTGGCAATTCTCAGGCATTGCCTGCAACAGCTGTCGCGCAAATGGTCTCTGCTCATTTCAGGTTGCGTGCGCGAACCGCGTGTTGCGCTTTGAAATGCCCAGAACAAGCGTCCTCAGCACAAGCAGCAGTGTTGCAAACCCCCTGAGTGCCCAAAAGGAGAGACCCGCATCCCAGCTCAGCCAGATTCTCGCAAGGAGAGACTTCTCCAACACCCAGACAGTTGGCAGCTGCAATGGGTCAAGCTGTTTCTAGGGGCTTTCGCCCTGGAACGCCGTCGGCTGGATCCAGGCGGCAGCTCCGCCCAGGCCACAGGACTCCTTCTGAAGTTTTTGGGCCATCGGTGGCCTTCGAAAGGTGCCGGAGGATCCAGGGATCATGGCTGACGAGGTTCGACCAGCAATCTGCTCCGTTTGGAGGCCTTGCGTAGGCATTCTTTTACGACCTCCCTCCCGAATTCTGTGAACCTCCGCGGATCCGTTCTTGCGGCAGTTGTTGCCAAGCATATCCAAACTTCGGTCAAGTCCGCAGGTCCGGTAGGAACAATCCCAAGGGCAAGCCGGGGGAGTTCCGAGCGAGGAGACGCGGCCAGAGCGCCCCAGCCCGAGGAGCGGTTGGTTTTGCGGGTCTGGGCGCTGCCCGCTGGCCCAGATGCCATCCACGATCCCCAGCCGAAAGGCACCCTTTCTCCCTCTTCATGTGGCTGTGGCTCAAAAACATGTACCAAAATGGCACCTTGGTAAATGGAACCAAAGACTAAAACCTTCGTAACCCTAGCTCTGTAATTTTGAGCCACGCCCATGTGGCTGGGTTCCCCACTAAATCTGGTTTCACTTCTTCTTTGGAGGTTTTGAGGGTCAATGGGGAACTGGGAGCGTCAAGGCTGACCCACCCCACGCAAAAGATTCCCGTGCGATTTTCTGGTATACAGCAACTACGTTTTGTGAACAACCAAAATACAAGTACCGCAGCAGGCCCATGCTGGTCCCCTTGCTGCAGAATGTTGCTGCTTTAAAAAAACTCACTCTGGACCCTTGGTCGAATTTATTCTCTCCAATCAAGAGAAGAGTCGTGAAACGACTTATGCCCAAGCTACAACCACTACTGAATACGGCAATTCTCCAACCCTGGATGGTGATCCTCCAGAAGGGAGAAGCACGACGTGGGGTCATGTTAACAATCAGAGATGGGGGAATCGCCGGCCTGGCATGGAGCGGAGACCAACTGAGGCTTGTTCAAAGGGGGCCCAATTTTGTAAAGAGTTCTTTCTGACCCTCTTGAAAAGGACACATGAAGGGCGCCAGGGTCCCCGGCGGTCCGCTTTATGAGACCTCCATGAGACCTCTATTACTTCTGCGCAGATCAACGCACCCACCCAGAAAGAGGGTCCGCTTCCCAAAAAGGAGACTCCGATCCAAACACCGATGGTTTCTGTGTTACATGTCAATCTGCAGGAGTGAGCATATTTTTTTCACAGGGCGAATTCAGAGTGAAGATTTCGTCACTTCCGGGTCATCGCGTAAACAAATCTGGTCACACCCCTGGCGGAGCAATCCCCAGTTGTTCTCTGGCACTCGATTTACGCTTCTTGTATTGTGGCTTTCCCACTAACACTGTTCCTTTTGCCACCAAATGGGTCGCTGGATGACTGGACATAGCAAACAAATAGATCGGTTGCGATTGGTTTGCCAGCGTTCGGGCCAAGAGCTGATGACCATACCGTCAGGGCACACAGGTTTGCAGCCACAAGGTCCTTTCCGGACACGATGAATGGCCCTTTCAGTGTGCTTCGGAGCTGGAGAAGGTGCAGCATCATTTGGAGACCAATGCCTTTCGTCCTTCAACCTGCATGCCAGGACACTCACAGCTCAGGCGGGTTGGTGTTGGCAGGTTGGGTGGGGGGAGCAGGCCGTCAAAGGGCTTCTTCTGTTCAAAGGGTGTATTTTGATGTTGGATGAGATGACAGCTAAAGCGAAGACAATTGGGTTGATATTCTCTCTCTCGGTCTTTGTGTGGGTGGGTGTGGTCTGAATGTCATGAGGCCTGTTGATGAGGTGGGAGGGAGTTGAATTCGTGGGCGTGTTTTGGCAGGGTGGAAGTGAAGTTGTGTTTTTGTTGGCAGTGAAGAACATCGTGCAAGCCAGAAGCCAAGGTGGCGGGCACACAATTGAACCCGAAGGGTGATGAAGAGGAAAGCCAGCAACAGGCAGATCCCTTCCTTTTGTACATATCAGAGCAGCCTCAATCATGTTCCGCTTCAAGAAAGTCACCTGCCTCGGGATCCCTTAGTCGAATGGGACTTGCTTGTCCATAGGATCCCACAACCATGGCCTGTCACAAGCTTAGAACCGAGGCTGAGGTGTTGGATGTTTGTTTTGCCAATTGGTTCATTTGTTCGAGTCCTTTCTAAAACCTGCCGGAGCTCCGTTTTTTTGCTCCTTTTTTTTCTTCTCTCTCTTTTTTCCTTTTCTTCTGGCCACCCAATGCATGTGCATACCTTGCGTCTTGCGTGGAGTCCCTGACGGCGTGTGAAGCGCAGCCAACATCCCGGGAAAACTTGCCTGCTGAGCTTTCTTGGATTAGGCGCCTGTTGGTTGAGCAAAGAGCCAAAGAGTCTCATTCTTCTCGGCCGATCAACTGATCAAGTCAAATAAGGGTACATTTGGTGTAGAAGGCCCGGTAGACTAAAGTCTGATTGGCTCATGAAGACTTACAAGGACGTCTTAGACTTGCACTAGGTGGCCTTTGACCCCACCAATGATGCACACCTTCGACTGATAAAGCAATGGGCCGCACAGAGAGCTGATCCTTTCAAATAGCTTGGGTGCAAGGGCCATGGGCACTGGCCTCTCGAGGTATCATTAAGGCAAGACTCGCTTTGACTGACGCGTGCTACGTGGGCGCATTGAAGACAAGGGGTGGCGCCAGGCCACGTTTTGCATGCCGCGCATTGTTAGGGCTGCGGCTGGGAGCTTATACCTGGTTGCTTGAATTCAACAGAAGGACATGCTGCCCACTCACACAGAACTTTTTGGAACGGCCGGCCAGCAAGCGTGGTTTTAGAGGAATCTCAGTTGGGCCCCCTTTCCGGGTTCCATGTCAACTCGATGTTGGCGCAGGGCTTCTTGTGAGGACAAGGCTCGGGGATCTGAGGGGTTTGTTCCCCGAGAAAGCCCTGCTGAGTCCGCTTTGAACCCAGCGGTATAAATTGGTGTTCCGCGCTATGCAGGTGCAGAGCCAGCACCAAACTGTGAGCTCGGGGCTTGGGCTACGTGAGCGAGCGGACTTTGTCGCTGTTGGTTTGCTTTCGGGGTTCGAGCAGCACAACAATGTTAAGCCTTCAATGGCAGAACGGGTCCCGTGCTCGGGCACGGATAAAACCGGTTGATGGCTCCTGCATGTTGTCCAAGAACCCAGCGACACTTGTGAGAGAGAGAGCTCCCGGAAAAAAAAGAAGAAAAAACAAAAGAAACAAAACGCTGTCTTGGGTCAGTGGTGCGCTCGCTTTCCGTGGACAGCGGCGGTCGACGGCCCCAGGCGCCCCGAAGATCGGGCCCCGGAAGTCCGCGGCCCAGCTCCCTTGGTTCAGTCATCCTGGTGGGAATTGTGCCATCTACTTTCATCCTTGGAAAAAACAAGATGCCATTCCAGTCGTGCAGTCACCAAGCTATGCTCATGGTGAGCTTACCTTTGCTTTTCTTGTGAATGTTGGCAGTGGGGGGGTCCAGGAAGGAAGCCGAAGCTGGAGTCGCCCCTTTTAAGACCATGCCAAATCAAGGACCTCCACCTCGGTGAAGATTTGGTCATTGGAAAGCTTTCTTCTCTACTGTTACAGAAGCGGGCAGACCAGGATGGAACGAACCAGAGAGCTTCATCAAGCAGCTCAACCACGATGTGCACACTGGCGACAAGACTGTGAAGCTGCTCACGCCTGGCAATGACAGCTATATCATGGCTTACGCAAATGAGCGAAGCTCAGCACTCCTTGGTCCTCCGCTATGACGCCTCAAGCCGCCAGCTGAAGACTCTGTTGGGCGTGGGCTCCTGCGTTGCCAACGTCTTTGACGCTGCTTGCTTTCTCGGCACATTCACGAGTGACTCTTCGCGGTCCATGCCAGCGCGTGACCCTGTTCTGGCCAAACTCCGTTCACCCTGCAAGGAAAGTCACACGCCTGAAGGTAGGGCAGGGTTTCAGGCCGCATCCCGTGGTGATGGGGACCATTTCCATGAACAGCTCAACAATTTCCCACCGCTGGAGAGTGCAAAGCCACGCCGCGGCGCCGCAACATTCACAGGGCACGGCTTGTATCATATACCACCCAATCAAAAATGAGCCGAGAAAAGAACCATTCCTTTTGTGAGTGCGATATTCAGGTATGGCCTCTGCCTATTCGAGTTCGGGCTTTATCCCTGGAGTATCAGTGAGTAGGGGAGTCACAGATGTTTCATGTGCGGTTTGGGTTTTTTCCTGGAGCTAAGTTCAAAGTTCAAAGGCAGACAAACACGAAGCACTTGAAAGACACAGTCCGCGGCTTGAGCAAACGCAACGGGTCGTAAAAAAGCTTCCTTGCTACTATTCCTGCTTGATACTGGTTCGTTTTCCCAAGCCAAACGACCAAACGGCTCCAGGTCTCATGAAACGGCCCCTGGCCGTCCAGTCCGCTGGCATCATGACTTTCCACGTTTCGCTGGTTGGGGAATCTGTTCGGGACCCCAACCTGAACCATCCTAGTTGTTTTCCTTGCGATCCCAAACCTTTGGTTCATTCCCACCAAAAAAAAACCCGAAACATCCTGGCGCTTGTGGCTCCCTGGGATCATTCCCCCAACCCCCAACCCCCCCCTCCTACGCTCCTACGCTCCGATTCCCTCAGCACCGGCCAGCGCTTCCGCGAGGCTGGGCCCGGCGGCGCTGGCCCCGGCCATCTGCGCCAAGCTGGGCGACTGCCCCGCTCCCTCCTTTCAGGCGCGGGGAGCCTCCCGCCTCCCTCGCGCCGTCCAGCTAGACGAGCCGAGTTGAGTTCGACCTGGGGACCAAAACTTGGGGGTGGGGAGGGGGCAAAAATGGGGGGTTTTCCGTTTGGTGTCCCTTTTAAACAAGCGCGAAAAAGTAAACCCTCACAAAGGCACACGCCCATATTGTTCTTGGCTGCTGTTTGGTTGGATCTTTATTCTCCTCAGGCTTTACACAGCAACAGGGAAGCTTTTCGTGCAGCAGGTGTCGAGGTAGTTGACCCTGGAGTGTTGAAGGTGTTCCAAGTGAAGGACATCCTCGAAAAGCGGACACGCCAATTAATCAGCAGGAGTTTATCCATCCTGAGGAGCCCACCAAAAATAGATGTAGAGGGTGGACTCCACTGAACAAACTGAATGGGTAACCACTTGGACCACCCTTGATTCTCGCAAAATGCCAGCAAAGGGGGATGGATATGCCTGATTCTGTCGATCCTCCGTTTACCCGCGGAGAATGGCATTGGACACAAACCGTCGGCGACGAGTACAAAGAGCACTTCTTGACGAGGGTTCGGGATGGGTATGTGTCGAAATGCACGCAGCCCAAACATAACGGTGGTTGTCCTTTTGTTGTTTCTCTCGTTTAAGCTATCCAACCCGCCTAAAAGGGTAGCAAACAACACACACACACACACACACACCCATGTCAACGTCTCTGATCAAATGCTGGGTGCGCCAGGTCCGGGAACAAAGGATCAAATGCACAGGCATTTTTCCAAGAACTTAAAGGGAGCTTCTACCTCCCCCCAATCCCAAAATCATCACAATTCCTCATATTTTTCAGTAGCCATCCAATTGTCAGAGTAGACACTGCAAGGATTTCAACAAGGACCTCAGCTTCCCCCAAAGGTGTTTCGAGTAGCCTATGAACGCCCGTTCTCAAGCTGTTCAGTTGCGAGCCACCAAAATGGGTTTTCTCATCAAACAACACCCACCGATGCTATGCTCTCTTATTCATTTTTCAGAGGGTCGAACACCCACGCTGTGCGACCCGGAGGTTGCGGCCAAAGAGCGGCGCGCTCAGCGGCAAGCCGTTGGGCTGCGAAGCGGACTCGGTCCAAACCTTCAAGTAGGACGGCTCCAAAAAGGAAGGACGGGTATGGTGGATGACTTAAACATTGCAGATAAACCAAACGCAAATTATTTACTCCAGTGCAAGTTAACACTAAACCCAAAGAAGGGGTCGGATTCCCCAACGAGATTCCGATCCTAAAAGTGGGAAGTAGTTGTAAACGCTTCGTGCTGCCCGCCCGGGCCAGGGCCTAAATGGTTCAAGAGGCTTACTTTGATCTCCGTTCTTACTCCTGGGCAGCTGGCATCGACGACGTTCATTCCTCCCATGCGTGAAAGTGCCGACTGTTAAAAGTATTCGCTTGGCACTCAAGGCCGTTTCAAGACCTGAAGGTGGGGGCTTTGGGGGGCAGCTGAGACTGTGATGGCCGTATCCAAGACCAAAAGGAGCAAATCGCAGCTGGGGTGGGTGCAGGTTGAGGATGAGGCTGGCTGCACACATGCCGCGGCGCAAGCACCGGCGGCGGCCGGGGCTAGGTGGGGTTCGCTTCAGGGCATGGGGCTGCAACGGGTTTGGGCATGGATGAAATTTGGAAGATCCCTATGATCAAAAGAGGGATCTTGCCGCTTCCCAGCCCCAGGAATTGGAAGCTCAGTTGGGCGAACCCCTGGATCGCCGGTCGGGTTCTTCTGAGACAGGCGAACCTCTCGGACCATCAACGAGAGGTACTCTCCATACACAACCAGCACTTCCTGACCTTTCAGGAGGCGATCCAGGTGCTCCAGCCGCTGCAAACGATACAGGTCCGCCTAAGGCGGCGCCCTCCTGCTCTACGTCAAGAAGAATGAGGAGCAATCCGAGGGGAACGAGGACGACCTCGACTACATGGAGCAGGAAGAGTCGGAGGAGGAGGAGAACGGAATGGTCTTCCACGAGGACCGGGAACATGATGAAGACGAAGGGAACTACTTGCGTATCATGCCGCATACCGAGATGTCCGCAAGGACCTGCAGAAGCGACGCAAGGAGCGCAGCTAAGTACAAGAAGGAGGACGCCCTGAACGTGCTAAGGGTGCTCGCCGCAAAGGCAGTGGCAAGTTCAGGACTCGTAAGGGTGCCGACTTCAGAAAGGGCACCGAGTCCGACTTGCTGGCCAGAACACGATGCCTCAACTGCCAGCAGCTCGGGCATTTGGCTCGAGATTGCCCTCTGAAGGGCGGCGGCGGAAAGGGCCACACCAGGCCCAGTTCAGGCAAGGCCAGGCGCATCGGCTTTGTGGTCAGCACTGGTGGCCAGGCCAAGGTCTTCGACGACGACAAGAAGTTCGCGTACATGTTCACTCGAGTTCGTGATGCAGGCGAACGCTTCAACCCGTACGTTCACGATGACAAGGTGCCGGAATTCGCCTGTGGTGCGGCGACTGTCGGTGTTTGCCGGAGTCAAATGCCACGGTTTCGAAGCTTTGGTGGATACGGCAGCTGAGGATGCTGCGATTGGCACGGTGGCTTGCAAAGCTTTGGAGGACGAGCTGTGGAAGTACAAGCTGAAACTCCGCGCCAAGTAGATCCCTTGCGTCGGCATTGGCGGAGAAGCTACCATCGCTCGCATCGTGGGCTGCCCCATCTCCGCGGCGGGCGTGCTGCGCTTCACCGTGCTGGAGGACACCAAGTATTTTTAGACATCCGCGACGTGTGGACGAACCCGGAGACGGCCAATCGACATCTACCCGAACGATGGCAAGTGACGTTCGATGAGTACATCGAGCGCAAGAACCAGTTCCTGAGCGCTTTGGGTCAACAGGGGGTGCCCGCGACCAGCGACTCTCCGCACTCATCGTCGCAGCCAGTTTATCAGTCGACGTCGTCAACCAGGGCAACCAGGGCAACTGACGCCTCGTCTACCCGAGCATGTACCCGACGCTCTGATGAGCCGTCAGATGCGCAGGAGGACTATATTGTCCTCCCGCCGGATCAGGTTTTTCTTCCGCATCGCATCGGAAGAGCCGCAACATGAGCCTGCCGTCGATGGAGAACACATGGCGGGTGCAGCAGCTTTCGGGTTTCGCGCCGGCAAGCCGTTTAATTACAAATGCTGTTGCAGGGACACGGAACCCCTTTGGATCCGCATGTGCCCCCATCGACACTCACGTCAAGCGACAGTTGCTCTTGAGAGGCAAGTGGACGGAACGAATTCTTCTACCGCCGCTGCAGCCACTATGTTCAAGAACCCCTATGTTCAAGAACCCACCTTGGTTGAGTACAATTCGATATCCCGCCCTACTCGCGCTTCTCCTGGGCCATGGATCTCCAGCGACAAGTGATGAAGCTGGTCAACCACGAGTCGGAGGACGATGCCCCCGACGTCCCAAAGAAGATGGGCGCCAGGAAGTGCGATGTGGCGTGGAAACACTTGGCTGTAGCCCTCATGATGATGCTGTCCACGGCAAGACAGCAGATGGTCTTCGACTACATCGCGCAGAAGAACCACAACGAGGACCTGGGCGAGGAGAAGAAACAATCCTACGGCAAGAACAGGACCAACAGCAAGAAGGACAAAGAGAAGAAGGTCGAGCGGTCGGAATGGATGCCGCAAGGCATCGGGAAACCTCTGCCGAGGTCCGACGCACAAAAGCATTGGGCCCTGGAGGTCAACGAGTGCCAGCACCCGGCCGGGCACTTGCGATGTCGGGCAAACCAATTGACCTGCTGGTGGACGTGCTAGATATGTGGTGCACGGTGGGAACGCCTGGAGAGCGACCCAAGGGCATCCTCAAGCACAGCACCACCAGCTCCCGAGGCGCAGAAGATCAAGGGCGTGGAGCGCCCGAAGTTTCTGCCTGCTCCCCTCGATCCGATCTCGTTGACGCCCTTCGAGATCTGACTGCCATGAGTGAAGAGCAACTAGCTGGTGCAAGACATAGCACCACACTGGGGCTTCCTCTTGATTGTGCTGCGCCACCTCTTGAAGGGGTCAGCCAGTGGGTGTGGCTCCAACCAATGTGGTTGGGCAGCGGGTCCTTGTCCAAGAAGTGCGCCATGAAGAGAAGCATGATGGTCTTCATGGCATAGCCCAACTTGCCCGCCTTCGCCACGGTGTTCTTGCCGTGCTCGGTCAAATTGTCCGGGGCCACAATCACTTTCCACCGCTGGCCGGACCAGCCTCCATATCTTGATCCTCCACTAGGACTGCGCTGCTGTCCGAGTGAAGCTCGTAGATCTCCGTGTTCTTGTGCTGTCGCGTGGGCGTCTTGGATCTCTGCACCGGGGTGAGTCCCGTTGCGTTGTGCTCCGGCGGTCTTTTTGACAACCTTCTCGGTCTACGCAAGCGTCTACGACCGGCGCGCTACCCGGTCACGCACCTGCAGGACCAGTGGCAGATCGTCAACGGCCAGCTCGCCTGCAGGCATTTCCAACCCCGGCAAGCTTTGTGTCACCTGGAATCTGCCGACCTCAACATCCCACTGGGCCAACTCAGTGGGAAACGCACTACCACCAAAACATTTGCGGATGGCTCAACTCGGCAAGTGGTAGACGATTGGCGAACGTCATCGGCTTCTACCAATACGGGTTCGCAACCGTGGACCGGCGCCCGCAGTCGGATGAGCAGGCGGACTGGGTGGCCAGTGCAGCTGCTCACCCCATTGCATCACACCTTCAACTCGAAGGTGTTTTTCAGGCGGAGTACGCTCTCGTCTTCCCCGCGCTCAAACTTTTGGGGGAAAGGCAGCAAAATGTGGCCAACGCGGAGAACGACGAGATCGAGACGACTCCGCGCAACAAGCGCACCGAAGTCAACCTCTCGCACCACAAGCAAAACAGTTGGATGAGCAACGGGCACGGCAGGAACTACAACCTCGCCAGCTTCAAGAACAACCAGCACTAGGGCGAGGTGACCAAGAAGGAGACGACTTGCTGCGCCCGACCTTCGCAGAGAGCTGTGCAGGCTCCATCGGAACCTGGGTCACCCAGACACGCAGCAGTCAAGCAGAACGTCCGACAATGGGTGAGGCCATTTGCGAACGGCGGCAGCGACCCAGTAGCCATCAGCCTGGACACCTGAGCTCCACAAGGCTGACCTTCAACGAGGTCATGGGCATCGACCTCTTCTTTATGGATGAGAAGGTCTTTGTGAACATGGTCGACTGGGGAACCGGGCACCAGGTGGTGGAGGTAGTGAAAGACAAGCAGCGAGGAGGTGGCGAAGGCGGTGATGCAGTCGTGGATTGGGCACTACGGCCCACCACGCCTAGCTGTTGCAGACCAAGGCAAGGAGTTCACAGCCGCGCACTTCTTCAATGTGCTGGGGGACGTCGGATGCTGGTGCACTTCACCGACGTCAACTCCACATGGCAGAACTCCAGATCCGAACGCAGCGGAGGAACCCTCAAGTCTTGCCTCAAGCAGACGCTTCACGAGGGTTCCGTCGAGACAGAAGACAGAAGAGGAGTACCTCTTGGCGGTGAAGGCTACTCAAGCCGCACGGAACAGGTACTTTGATCGCTGGGCCTTTTGGCCATACCAACAAGTGTTTGGTGTGAATCCTTGCTTGCCCGCGAGCCTGTTGTCCGATGACCGCCTGGGCTCGTGCATGGCACGCTCACCAGGATAAGCAAGCTGTCAACAGGGCCGTGCGAGCCAACACCAGGACAGCAGCCCCTCAACGGACGTGGTCTACGAGGTCCACTGGATTCTGGACCTGGAGTGGCTTTGCGAGAGCAAGCGAGGGCGGCTACTTCAGAGCAGAGCCTGGGTACGGAGTTGGTCAAGATCCTCAGCGCCGAGATGCTGGAGAATCTGGAAAGCGGTCAGCTTCGGAACTTCCGGGACGTCGAGAAGGAAGCACTTCCTCTTGGAGAAGAAGACGGTCTGGAAGAGGTGGAGATACTACAACGTCCACGCCATGCCGAAGCTCAACAGCCATCTGTTCGACCGGCCCGAGAAGCAGAACAACCTGTGCCGCGACCAATCAGCTCATGGGATGGAAGTCTCGAAGGCTGAGACGCAAAGCAGGCAGCGCCATGCTGTGCGACAGCATCGCGTGCTCAACAGCACTGGCTGCGGTCGAAAAGCAGGCAGCCATGTGGAGAAGCTTTTGCGCCACGAAGTACAATCCAAAGGAGACCGCAGTCGACATCGAGGTGGAGATGGGATTGAGAGGACCAGCCACGGTCATCGCGACGGAGAACCCGCTGTACCGCGACCCTCAGACGATTGTCGTGGTGGGCGCGATCTTCGACTCGACCGCCCGGGAGCAGTCACAAGGCGATGATGACCGCTCGGCGTTGGAGGTGGGCATCATCCAGGAGTCGCTGGCCAAGCTGCAAGGACGAGTTCGCTGGGTACCCCATAACATGAACCCCGCGGACGCACTCACGAAGATTGAGGCTCACATGGAGCCCATGATGAAGCTCATCAAGACGAATGCCTACAAGGTGGAGGAGGAAGAGTCCATCCTGAGCGAGGGAAGGCACGGAGCAAATCGGCTTCGCACAAAGGCTTGAACTTGAGCCTGCGCGCCTTTGAATTTTAGGGGGCTGCGGGCTTGATTCATGAGACCCGCTTTAGCTACTTTAGCTTTCATAATTGAAGGGAAACCAAAAGGAAAACCGTAATTTTCGGCGCACCCACCCACCAAAGTCTACCAAAGTCTGGCGAATCGCCAAGGGCCCTGAGCCTATCGGCCAGCACTGCCAGCACCAGCAGCGCAGGCGGGAGAAGGTTTACCGGGGGGCGAAGCGGGATTCAGGGCTCCGTCCGTTTCCTTGTCAGGGTTTTCTCTAGTTCCCATTTTGGAACCTCGACCTTGCGCCGAACACTTCAGACCGCAGCATGGTGACTGCGTTGAGACTCACACACAAGATGTTCACCTTGTAGCTTTGCTGGCCCCCAGTCACTTGGCCTTGCCTTGCTCGGCTTGCTGGGCCCAATGATCCGCACTCGGGGGGTGTCCCTTGGCCTCCAGCTTCACTTGGGGCCTTGCAGCACCCTCTATTAACCATACTCACGCACGCGCACAACTTGTTTTCTGCTTTTATCATCCAGGAGGTCGTGATGAAAATAACCCGACATCAGGCATGAGTCGACAATGGACCCAGCAAAACTTGGAAGCGGCTCGATCTTCTTAGGTTGGCTGTGCTTTTCCTGCGGAAGCACCATGCGGCAAAATGAAGGGGTCCCGTACTCTTTTGGGGTCGGTTCAATCAGTTGTTCAACATAGAACACCATTTGAACATTTCTAAACTGTCAAGTAGCCAAGCTCATCCAAACAGAGCGGGTTCAGCTTTTGTTGTCGCAACACAACAAATGAAAGGGTCCTGTACGCTTTCGGGGTGGGTTGAAAAGGCATTGAACTTTCTTTTTTTTTGGTGGGTGGGTGGGTGGGGGATTTGAGGACTGCCAAGTCGTCTAAAGCCCGAGTTTTTGCTCGGGGCTACTCCTTGGATGACATGTTTGGCTGCATTTGCTCGTCTGCGGATCTTCTCCTTCCGAGACTTTGGGGTCGGCTAAGCCGTCGGTTCTACGTGCTAGCCTCACTCAAGGTTTCTTTCTCGGAGGGTCCAAGGAGTCCAAGGGCCCAAGCCTTATTTTGGTCGGTGGGTTATCGCACTTTACCCAGGATGGCTTTGGTGCTTGCTTTGCTTTGCTGGCGTTGTGCCATTCACTTGGAGCGACCTTGACGTGGCCGGTAGTTTAGACCCTTCCACCCGCGGTCACCTTTCGGGCGTGCTGGTTTCCACCCCGGGCGCCGCGCTCGACAGGCGAGATGACGCTCCGGGTGCTGCTTCAAGGCGACAGGCGCTTTTCCGGTGCCGGCTGTGACTGGGTGAAACAAACCAAAGTGGAGTGCGCAGCCGCGCGCATGAATGAATAGGTGCAGCAACAAGGGTAGATGATAAACCGCTTCAATATTTTTTTGGGCGGACATGCTGATTTATGGATGGGTTTACACGTGCGTTCACTTTTTGATGGGGTGTTGGAGGGGGCCGCGAAAGTGACGCTGGCTTCTGTTGGCTGATGCCTCTCTTTTGTTCTTTGCCGCGGTTAGATGCTTATTTGGCGCTTCTCAATCCGTTGTGTTCACATCTACCCACGAATACGGTCAGGATTCTTCTGGAGTTTCGGGGAGGAGGCCAGTAGCCAGGGTTGAAACCGTTTGCTTGGCCTTCTCAAATGTCCAGAGTCTTCAGCTGTGGAACACCACTGGCACCAACCTTGTCGCTTTAGCGGAGAGCTCCTGTGCTGAGACGGATGCCTTCGAATTCGAATTCATGTTCATCGTGCCCTTCAATGGGAGGAATGGTCAAAAATGTGGGGAAGGTTACGACCCGTACCCCGTAGGCACAAAGCCCTTCTGCTTGATCATGATAGAAGGTGACAGATCAATCAAAGCAAAGAAGGGCCCGCGAAGTCTCTCTGGGTGCTAGAGTTCCCCCTGCTTCTTCTCAGGTACCCAGGATTAATACACCACCTGGAAGTCTGGATAGGCTTCATTCCCCCAATGCTGTAGGTAAACCAGCCATGGTAGACTACAGCGTTGTTCTGTCTTCCACCCTCTGCCACAGTGGCAAGCGTTTCCTTTTGAGGGATTCTGCCTACTGGTGGCGACTGCTGGTTGCGGACCAGGTGGTCGCACTCTTTGATCAACAAGTCGCAGCCCTCTTTCGGGGAGTCCCCAACATATCGCTGAGGAGAGGGGCCTATTCGCTTGAAGTTCCTAGAGCCAACGCCGGTTGCATCACTCGGCGCACCGCACGTAGGTGGGTTTCGCTGCACTTCCACCGGCCAACGCCTCAGGCTGGGTGAAGATCCTGGTTTACGGCTTCGGTTGCCCCCGAAAACTGGCACCCGCCCTTAACATGGGCTGGCTGTGAAGCGAAGTTAATTACTAAGAAGTCAAGCACTTGGCATCTGACTTCAAAATTCTCTTCAGGAAAACTTGCCTAGCTAGCTGCAGTCTTTGCTGGTATGGCAAGCTAAGACAGTCAAAAGCCAAGCATATAGTTTCTTATATTCCTTGCAATACTACACATCCTGGCCATGGTCTTCTCGCTTCTTGCGCTCACTCTGCTCTCCAGATCACATCGTTTCGTCCCACTCGTCTCTTGCCACTGTCTCCGCGCTGTATCTTCTTCTGTTGGTTTCCTCGCCTCTCCTTTTTCAACTCCTTGCTCTTTGCTTGTGGCTCCTCCCTGAACTGTCTGCTCCCTCCCGCCCTCCTGACTCTGCTCTGCTTGTTCTGTTCTCTTCTTGTCCGTGCTCTGTTCTAGTTGGAGTTCCTTGTTTCTTCTCCCTGTCCTTCCCGCTTTGTTCTGCACTCGTCTCCTTTCTTCTTCTTTCTACGTTGCGTCATTTTCTGCTGGCCTCCCTACTCGCTCGTATCTCCACTCTCATCGCGCCCTGTTCTCAAGTGAAGTTTTCAGGCAGTCGGTCGGGCAGGTCCTGGGTTTCACAACTTATTGCCGTCAAGCGAAGCCACGGCCCGAAGCTCGCAGCAGAAGCTTAGAGTCGATGCAAAACAAAAGTCAGGGCTAACATTTCTCCTTTGGAAAGGAGGTTAAAGTGGACATGGGTTTAAAGACCGCCGATCTTTCGAAGGATATTTAAAGTCAGGGCTTCTGATATTTCCCTCAAAAGGTGGTCTTAAGAACCACTGTTTGGAAAGGCAACGGTAACATGCCCTTCCTTTAAGTGGGGTAATGCTCCTGGGGGAAGCATATCAGGGGACCTTCGCACATTCTTCTCCTTCGCAAGACAAACCCTCGCTGGAGAGAGTCACTAGGAGAACCGCCAAATCTGTCCGCAATTGCTCGATGACCAAAGATGGTGGAGTCTGCCAGCGCCAAAAACTTCCCACGATCTCACCTCATGAAATGGCAGATCTACCAGGGTTCTCAAAATAGGGGACCCCCAAAATGGTTGGTTTCCTTTTGGCTTCCCTTTGAAACCCACCGAAGCCTCAAAAAAGACGAACCCCAAACAAAGTCTCCTTTTTCTGGCGCAGCGGGCAAAACCATCGGGCTGAGGTCCGAGGACCTGAATTTGAAGGCCGGCCGCTTCTTGGAGGAGCGGGCCGTTGCCCGGCCTGTGGCCTAAAGGAAGGCAAGGATTTTGGTTTCGGTCCAATTTAGGGCGTTTGTTCCGAAGGAGAACCCCTCCAAAAAAAGAAGGTGATGGCCTTTTGGGCTTCCCTTCGATTTGAAGCCATCCAACAAGGGTTCTCCGAGAAGAAAACCCGCAACCATTTAAGCGTCTTGCTTTAGGGTGGTGTTGTTTGTTCCAGGGAGGATGATTAGATGTGACCTTCTGCGGCATGCCATGGTTGGCGCCGGATGTCCCATTTGTCGTGAGAGTTACGCACAACTTGAAGCTGCTTGACATCAAGGTCCGTAGGGAACCAACCATGCATGAGTCCAGAATCGCCCCGGAACCAGCTCCACTTGCCTTCCAACAAGTTCTTGGAAAGCAGGATTGTCCCCTGCGTCCTTTCACAAGGCCTTTATGGAAGGGACACATCGAATAGGCTTAGAAGCTTGGAGAGGACAAGCTGTCTCATTGCCCTTGCACTGTCGGCTGCTCCGGTTGATTCGCCAGATCTTGCAGGCAACATTGCGGAGGAGGTGTTCCCCGTTTTTTACCTCCCAACATGGAACTCTACTTCGGGGTGAGTCCTTCCATCCTGTTGCTCAAAGGGGCCCTTTGTCTACGTTGGAGTGTCGTCTGAACCAAAGCATGGGGATGCTCCCCAAAGCATGGGGATGCTCCCCAAAGCACGGGGATCCGTTTTCGGAGTTGCTTGATCTTGCATGGACAAACCATGAACGCAGCATCCGTGCCGGGGAGGAGTTCTCTTGTGAAAAAATCGGACCTTCCAGACATCCTCAGAGGTACCGTCTAAATGGGTGTCGTTTTTTTAGGGGACCTGGTGGTGTTCCTTTTGGTTTCCCTTTCAACCAACAAACAGACTATACCCTCAAAAGACACACCCACATGTCAAAAATAATTGCCACCCCCAAAAGTTACTTTGCGAACTGGGTGTGTGGGGATCGCCCCGATCGGAGTTCGGAGGAGCACCGACTCAGCTCACTGGTGAAAGCGGGGCTTATGCATCAGCTTCGACAGATGGCGCCTTGACCTTCGCTGGATCAGCGTTTGGACACATGTTGCATTCTTGGCCTTGACTTACATGATGAAACAAGTAAACAAATACATCGCCAGGTTCAGGATTGAATTGCCGACCAAAGGGTTGCTTGCTCACCCGCAAGAAGATCTCCAGTGGTGTCCCGGGGTGGTCCTTTCATAGCTGTTTCTTTTTTTCTTTCTTTCTTTTTCTTTGGGTGGGGTCCCTTCAGTTTTCTTTCCCCTTTATTGTTTCTTGAGGTGGGATTCCCTTTGAAAGCGAGCACCAAAAACAGTGCCCCTTGGCCTCCTGGGACTTGAGGGCACCTGGCTCAAGGTCCTTGATGAGAGAGAGATGACTCACGTTTCTCGTTCTGACCGGACATGATCAATTGATCACATATATTATATATACATATATACATATATATATATATATATATTATATAATATATATATATATATATATATATATATGTATTTATGCACGCATTTTTTTTTCGATGGTGACGTTCTCCAATGCGTCGTTCCATGTGAAACGAATCAGCCACAAAGCAACTTGCTAAAGCGCAGCGGAGGGGGAGGAAGGGGGGGGGGCGGGGGGGCGTGCCGCGTGATCCGTACTTCTGAAATCACGGTTGTGGGCGGGAAATCCCTGATCTCCACGCCCAAATTTCCGAATAGGCGAGGGTCCACATCCTTATGTCTATTGCCTTGAACTCAGGGTGCTCACCGGGCGCTGTCCGACATGCAGACGATGACTTTTCTTTCGGAAAGCGCTGTGCACTTTTGTTTGTGCTTCCTGAAATAGTAAAGAGGTCGGTCTGTCTTTTGACACTTTCCAGCTCCCACCATGGTAGGCCAAACGCAAATTGCTTGGAGGGTCCAGACCCCAGGTGGCACCCTTTCTCCCTGTTTGTGTGTTTCAAAATGATCAACCCCGAAAAGGAATATTGCCGTTTCCTGTCAGTCAGTTTTTGCCTTCCTACCTGTCAACCATGACTGCTATTTGGTCTGATCTTTAACCTTGAGCCAGTTTGGGGACCACTGCTTTCCGTCTAACTAACCAACAAAAGTTGTTTGCTCTGCTAGAGTCCAGAGTTTGCCTTTTGCCTGCCTTTTTGGAGAAGAACACATATTCTTGGACCCAATGAGAGGAAACTTGCTTTCCAGCCTTCCACAAGTGCCTTCTGCCAGTGGGTGGAAGGGCAACCCGAGAGTTGGGGCTAGTCATTGGGCACCCCCTTACCAGAATGGTTCTCAGAACCTTCATGGGCGTTTCGAGGTGCTGATGCGCCAGCTGTCCGCCTCTGTGGACGTGGTGGACCTTCTGTAGGCGACAGCGGCTTGCGCGGCCGGCATTAAGTTGTTCTTGTCTTGTTCTGCACAAAGGAGTGCGGTTTGCGCGTTTAAGAAAGCGAGGTTTGCCTTTGCTTGATTATGCGAGGTTTGCCGCAGCGCTCTTGTTTAACAAAATGCGTGTTGCCCATGTTTGTTGCTTTTTTCTTGATCGCGCTTGATTTATTAAACAGGGTTGAGTAACTAGATTATATTTGGTTGTGCATGTGTTTGTGCACCACAGACTGGGGTTTGCCGGTTCCATTCCCTCGGGGAACGGGTATGGTGCCTTGCTGCTCTGGGAGCAACATCTTTGAGCTGATCTGCTGTGCAGGAATCGCATCACTTTCTTGAACGGACAGGTGCAGGTATCTCATGCTCCTCTGCGGTGTCGGTTATTGCATGCGTTGGATGTTATCTTTACGTGCTGCCTTTTGTCCGGGCCACCGGAGATGCTGTTGTTGGTAGTTATGCAACCCGTCGTTTGCTTTGTTTGCTGTGCATGCTGATGTTGGTAGTTATAAGCCTCATGTCTTCATTGTTTGCAACCCATCCAGCCACTTCCCCGCCCCTCTGCAGGGCCTTAGTCTTCCAGGCCACCCACAAAATCGATGGGTTTTCCTTTTGTTCCCTTTTGAAACCACCTCAAACGCTTCGTTGCCCAGTGCTGCCCTTTTTCCTTTTTCTAGGTAAGGGTTTACCTTTAGACTCAACCAACTCAAAAAGGGTGCTCTTTTTTTCCCATGGCCACTGGGCATCTGGGAAAGGGTACCATCGAGACAGACAGCCCTTGCGTGTCAGCCATCTGGCCAGGTCGCGAGGTCTCAAGGGCTCACCGTAGGTGGGGTCGCTCAGGTCGCCTGGCTGCTTGCTCATGTTCGCATCAGTTTGATATGGAGAGTAGAGACGCACGTTGTTTCTTGGTTGCCCCCCCCTTGAGAAGTCAACATTTCGTTTTGTGACAATGGGGCCCAGCCAATGATCCCTGAGGTGTTAGAACCAGACTGCGAAGGGTATCAACAACAGCTTGGGGCAACCGCTGGAAAAGCGAGTTCAACTCGGTTTCAATCAAATCACACTGGGCTAGTTCTTGGCAGAAGTTCTGAAAGTGACTCCCAACGGCAACGATGCCCCAATTGCATGTAGGGAATTCAACCATGGTTTGTGGTTGGTTTACTTGCAATATGTAGAACCTCCACCCTATCAGTTCATTTTGTTTTTCTTTGTCGACTGGAACTGACTGTAATGCATGCATGTGCAAACTCAATATGCATGCGGTCGTAAGACAAATGGTTATTTGGGCTTCTTGGCGGGTGAGCCCATCCCGACTAATTATTTGTAGAGCTTGCAGTTGCTTGCCAGGAACTCTGTATGACTGTCCAAGCGCATATTTGAGTCATTCAGCTGAATGAGGCATTTGCCATTGGATTTGGGCGACCAAAGTTGCATCGAATTCGACAAGGAAGCGTCTCTTCCTCTCTCTTCTTTGTGTCTCTCTAGATCGTGAACACACACCCCACCACACCCTGCGTTTGTGGAAAGCTACTCGCGGTCCAGCTGAGTAGAAGAGACGCTGAGTCTAGGCTTATGATCTTACGGCGCCCTCGCGGCAGCAGAGACCAGGGCATTCAACTGTATCACAATGATGGCGGATAAATGAGGCAATCCAAGAAAGAAGTTCCATCCCGTGCTCTCATGTTATTTTCAAAGGGGCGGACCTTTTATCTTTCGAGATGCTTTGAGCAAGTGAGCAAACTGCCTCGAAAATAATCGAGTCCAAAGTTGCGCCGGATCCTTGGGATGGGTTTAGGGTCCCTGTACTCAGGCGATGTCCTTGGGACCCATACAGGCTTGGATTTGTGAGTGCGACATCTATTCGGACTTGCAGGAGCTTTTGCGGCATGGTATGTGACAAAGTTGGGGTTGGGGGACCTCAAAATTGTGGTTTTTTGTTTTGGTTTCCCTTCAAGCCAAACTGAACAGGCTGCCCTCCCAAAAACATGCACCCCTATGGCAGGCTGGCGTAGGCGAAGCATCCTGGAACAGATTCTTGGCTCGTTTTTGGGCCCTGGTCCGAATCCAGGCGGCCGTTCCCTAAACGCGGGGACACCCCCAAAAATGCCTGTTTCCTTCTGGTTTCCCTTTACGCAGCAGCCTCAAGAAAGTCCGCAGTGAGAGTGTTTCCTCACATCGTTGCTCAAATTGGGTCTGGAGACCTGGGTTGCCAAAAGGAAACAGAGGTGAACCATGGCCACATGACACAAAGATGTCGAGGGGCTTCTGGAGTGGGCCGACCAACCGACCCACCGACCAACCGACGTCGGACGGGCGCGGAAAGGCAACCGCGCCGTCGCCGTTTGAAAAAGGGCCGGCCTGGCATGTGAGCGACGGTCAAGATTTAGTGTCATCTACGGTAGGAAAGAGACTGACACTGGAGACACTCACCAAATTGCCATTGGGGAAATGGGATTCTCACCGAATGCCCATGTCAGTTGTGGACACGATTGGTATTAGAGTATTGACTGTGGACATGTCAGGCGCTCACGGTAGAAACGAGCCTCAAAGAAACACAGAAATCCCCAGCCCACTTGTTCGGAAGAGTTTGGTCGTCAAAACAGGGCGACTCCCCAACATCCCTTTGATTTCGCTTTGACAATAGCCCAAGAAGGGTACAACCCCCCAAACAATAAGCACACCCACATGTCAAGTGGAGCAATAATTGGGTTGACTCCACTGATGCTTTCTGCTTTCTCCTTTAAGTTTGCTCTTCTGTTTTGATTTCCATGGCGCAAGTTGAAATCCTTCCCAACAGGCTGCTCATCCAGGCAAAGCTTCATTTTTGCGGGGAACTGCGAAGTCCCAGCTCGGATTTTGTGACACTCGGGCCAAGTCTGCCTGAGTTCTACTGCTTACTGGTCCAGCTGAAGCCTTGGGTCTTCGGGTCTTGAGGTCAAGGCCAGACATGAGGTAGTTGGGTGACTTGAAATGCATTAGCACCATGCCCGCAACCTCGACAACTTGATGCCTGAATTCACCCCACTGATGTGCCGTCCAAGAGGTTCTGACTCGTTGCACCGACGCAAGCGTCCTCAACGCCGTCCGCTGCCTTGGGCTTTCTCAGCTGCGACGGCGTTTTCGCCGGGCGCGGCCATGGGCGAGGCAGGGATCGGGCGGAAGGAGTCCTCATTGAACGCTCGTTGTGGGTGTGGTTTAAACGGAAGCCCAAGGAAGCCCAACATTTTCACCCCCGCACCCCGATGTTGGCACGCTGTGACCCCCTTTTGGACCCCTTTGAAAGGCAGCACAGAATGGCATCAGGGTTCAACAAAGGACTTGTTTTCTAAGAATCCACCCACAGTACTTAGAGCCTTTTCTGTTTGGGTGATCCAACGAGCCCCATCACACCTGTTTTGTCCCACAGCCCATTGAGGAATACATCCTGGCCGGTTCCCTCTACCCTTGCAGAGCCGGGCTGGGATGTCTTTCTATTTGAAGGATTGAACTGCGATATTTCCATCGGCCTAAGGCCCTGCAAGGGGGTCCCCCATCCCTAAGACAATCCTACAAGTGTTGTGGAATGCGGGAATGAGAGACCAGGTCGATGCAGGACGGCTATCAGGTGTGGGGCCCAAGCCGACAAGGAGGGTCCATCCACCAGCGTGGTCTTGGATCTTTTCCATGCCATCGTGGATTGTGTTTGCTGGAGTTTTTGGGTTTCCAAATGTTCGCAGATCTTTTCTAGCGACATTACCTCACCCACATGTTGTTTTTTGTTGGGGGGGGGGGGTCAATTTCAAACATCACCTTTGGGTGGCCAATTCGAGGGGTGAATTGCACTGAACTGAATTTACGCAACCTTGAAAGGAGACCGCCTTGCTTTCCAGGGGCAAAAGTGACCTTCAAAGAGTGTGGAACCTCGGAGCCCTTGTGCCCCCGGTGTTGGAAGAGTAGTTCTTTTTGGGGAAGCCCCTTCCATGATTGCTGGACAGAGGTTAGTGGAGTCACGGAAACCAAGCAAATGCCGCCAGGCTGGGAGCACTCATCCCAGTTGCTAGTTGGCTGCGTCACAAGTCTCCTCACCGGGCTGTTGGCCGACAAAATATTGAGGGTCCACTCCTGGCCGAATCACGGCTCAAATAGGTTCAGGCAGATTGTCGAGTTCATTTCTCCTTTGAGCTAGGTGGAAGCAAAAGCCGCAGATGTCAGAAAATGGGTCTGGCACTACAGCTTGCTTGAGCCAGCATTGTCGGCCACAACTGGCAATTTGGTAGAGATGTTGCTTAGCAGGGGCGAGCACGTGCTTTGCCCCCTTGTGACGCTAAGGCGGACGGCGAAGGCGAACCAGGAGGCGAAAAGGGGATCAAATGGGAGGCGTTCAGACCAGCCTGTGAAGGTTTGAGGGGAGTGCCCATAGTCTCCAAGCCACACTCGGGACTGCGGCAACCGCCACGACATATATCTATCCTCTCGATTTGACATCCTAGGCTTGCGGATGGCCGAGAAAGCTCATGCCACAAGTTTTGTGACGGGAGGCAGCTGTTCTTTCAAGAAACATGAATATGGGTTATTTGCTCTCAGAACAGCCTGGAGTGTACTCATTATTTATTTCTGTTCCATTTTGCACTTACCTGCCACCCACCCACCCACACCAGCGTACACCAGTCGCCCAGCAGCCCACCTCACAAAAAAACAGTCCCCCCGCAGAATTTTGTGGAAGGGTGATTGAAATGAAGTCTCGCTGGTGGCTTTGGCTTTGGTGCTGGTTTTGCTTTGGAGGGGTGGGGTGGTTGTGCCATTCGCCTGGAGCGACCCTGATGTGGCGTTGATTGGATCTGGGGAGGAGTTCCGTTTCGCTCGGGGAAAGACACCGCATCCAAAAAGTTGTTTGTCAGCTAGCCAGAGAGCACCAAAGCAGAACCCATGGGCCAGCTCGGGGCTTCGACCCCAGCCTTGTTTTGTTTTTGTGTTTGCACTGTATGGTGGACCAAAGTCAACGGGTTTGCAAGACCTCGCAAATTTGACCCTCCCACTTCCCGCAAATTGCCTATCGTGTCTTCCCTCCCCTGGGTTACTCCAGATTGACAAATCAAACGTAGAAGCGGGTATGCTTGTCTGCCTATGGTTCAAAGGCGCCTCCACAGCTTAGTGACGATTGGAAGGGTTTGCTGAATATTCCGGGGATGGGATACCCATACCAACAGGATGAACATGTTTCCACTGATTTCGTTTCAGAACATATATGTTTGCATTGCCACGTGAAAACCTCCAGACACATCTTGACCGCTTGGCTCCTGTGAGCCTCGCCTCTTGGCCTCTCGGGCTCCCAGCCTTTCTCAGGCGAGAGACGGCTCGATGTCTTCGAATTTCTCGATCGCATCGAGGACGTTGAGCCAAGACTTTGGATCGCCGGATAGGATCAGGCAGAAAGCAAAGCAATTGGGATATGTTAGGGTAGGAATCATTTGCAGGGCGGCGGTTAGTTTAGCCGTGCAACACATCTGAGATTGTCGCTGGTGGGGATAATTACCGACTCATTCGAGCAGATCGCAATCCATGAGGAATTCTGCCATTGGGCCAAAATGGTCGACATCACTCGAGTTGTTTTTGGTTGTGGGGAGGGACATGCCAACAAAAAGAAAAAAAAAAAACAATCTGGGAAATCCGAAGAAGCAAGCAAAACCTCGAGCAAACCAGCAAATCAATTTTGGGGCTGAAACCCACGATGCTCCCTCTGAGTTTGTTTTTGTTGTTTTTCGTTTTCCCAGTGAACCATTCACTCACTTTTTTTTTTTATCCCCGGCGTTGTGCCTCCAAACGAAACACGACAATGAACGCAAGTTGCTGTTTTCTTACAGGACTTTGATTAAACATAGGTCAGATATTGAATATATCTGAATAACAAGGACAGAATCAAATTAGCCTCTCGGTTTAACTTAGAATCCATAAGCTAGTTTCAAAGTCTTGACTCAAGCCTCATATCCTTATGAGGCCCCTTGTGACAATGCTCGTTGTAACGCTCCTTACAAGGCTCCCTTTAAAGCTCCTTATAAGGCCACCTATAAAGCTGCTTACAACAAAGCCCCCCTGTTAAGGCTCCTTGTAAAGCTCCTTGTGCAAATCCTTCTAAAGCTGCTTGCAAAGCTTCTTATGAGGGCTCTTGTGAAGCCCTTTAAGACAGCTCCTCAAAAGATCCCTTCAAGGCTCCTCACACGGCTCCTGATTCCAGATAGGAGTTTGATTTTAGCAAATACTTTGAATAGAATCTA